TGCTCACGGACTGCTTGTGTTCCCTTGTCCAGGCTGGCTCCTCCTCGCAGAGCCATTCTCCTCTCTGAGGTCCGTTATGTTCCTGCTATGAGCAGCTCTGCTACAGGACGGGCTCCCTCCTCTGCCACCTCTCATTAGGTTTTGGTTCTTGTGCTGTTTCCAGAAGTGCTCGTGGTCATTTGTGGGGGAAGGTGAAGGTAACTGATGCAACATCCCCCAGCCGGTGGCTCCTTTTCTTGCAGAACAGGCGAGATGTTCTCGGATCGCCTCCAGATACCAGGTTGCATCACTGATCTGTCAGCTTTCCTCCTCTTGATCTCCTGTTGTTGCCGCTCGTGTTTTAGAAATGCCTGATGTAGCCCTGCCCCGTTGGCCTGTTCCGCTGCCCCGTGGGCTCCTCCTGCAGCTTCATCCCAGATCCCGCCTAGTCTGTTTTTTATTTTTCATCTCCAATGAACTGGCTTTCTGATGCCTCCCACTGTAGGCTGGGCTTGCTGCCTCCTTCCACTTTCACCTTCCATACTCAGCCATCTGCCTTTAGCCTGGGCTGTTGCTTTTTTGTCTTTTCATTTTGGGATCTTGCTCTCTTGCTTTCAATGCTACTGTCTTTTCCTTGCTTCTCTGTTGTTTCTTCGTCTTCTTACTTCATCTGTAAGCTTACTTGGATGGACATGTTATGGGGAGATAAATAGGGGTTATAATTGTTCCTTCAGATTCATACACCCACATGTGTGATAATTTGCAGGGAATGTTATGAATTAGAAAAATAATTTCACGTGAACTCTAATTATTGAAAAACTTGTAATGTTAGTTTATTAGTAATAACAAATTGAAAGAGTTCTTGTATTTTAACATATCACACAGACATTGCATATTCACGCATGGACTCAAAGCACAGTATATCTGCCTGCTCTCAGTCTGCTTCAGAAGCAATAACGCTGGTGTAAGAAGCTTCAAATGGAGAGAAAGAGAGGGAAAAAAAAAAACTGAAAGGGCATTTTGAGAGTTGCTGGTCCCAGGTTCTGTGGCTGCATCAAAGCAAGCAGCGCCAGGCTCTGCTGCTCTTGATGTGCCGAGCTGGGTGCCCCTGTGTGGCGCCCTGCGGCATGACAGGCCTGCTGGGCTGGCTGCCCTTTCCCCAGCGAGCCCTGAGCACAGCGAGTTTCTGTGCTCTGGCTTTATCCTGTGCACCTCCTTCAACGGTCACTTCTGCTCAGACCAATCTTGACAATTCCTTCAGCAATCTGGATTGCTAAAAGCTGCTTAAAACAATCGTACTCCTTTCCAGAGCTACGCGTTGCAGCGGCGTTCCGTTACCGTGCAACCAAAAAGCCCACGTAAGATGTGAACTCCGTTCTCAGGTGTTACAGTTCATGCTGTTACTTGAAAGCAGTATTTTTACCTCATGCACATAGGGCAGAAAGGCAAAAACTGCATGTTTACCTGAATATGATTTAAATCTCAACTACGAAATGGGTTACAAGGCTTTCGGGTGTCTTTGTGTCTCTGCTGGGCCGGTCAGCAGCCCCCTCGGTGGCCGGGTGCTGGGTGGTGGCGTCCGCAGCCCTGCTCTGCAGCACGGCGTCCCGCTCCCACAGCAGCTCCTGCGCCGGCGCGTCGGCGCCCGCCGCCTCCGTGCGCGTCCCGAGCCACGAGCCCGCCGCCGTGGGCCAGAGGCTGCTCGCAGCCAGGAAGTCACCGTTGCTCCTGGGCGTGCGCCTGCCTTGCCGCGCTTTTCTGAGATAGGACAGTTTGTTTGCCAGTACCACTGTTGACAGAAGTAAGAAGGTGCAGATAAGCACGAGTACTGCGATAACAATGAAGCAAATCAGAACAAGGGGCTTGTGGTCCTCGCACGCGTCTCTCGGTGCTGTTGTCTTGGCCTGGGTGGTATCCCTGACTCCTCCTGCGGCAGACACGGCACTTGTGGCAGGAGAAGGCGTTGCGGGGCTTGGGGCCCCCGTTGAAGACCAGGGCTGAGAGGTGCCTGGCCGCTTTCCTAAAGCAGCCACTGCTTTGTGGCTGGGACCAGCGCTCAAAGGCACCTCTCTGCTGCCTTCACTTGTGGTCAGGCTTCTGCCTGGGTTCGGGCTGCTAGAATTCCAGGTGTCACTCGTAACCATGGCCTGTCCGCTATGATTTGCACTTATGTGCAAATACAAAGAAAAAATTACTGCAGCAAAGAAAGCAAAATGCCCTTCACTGCATTTCTCTCTCTTCATCTTCCTGTTTCGTAGCCTGCAAAATAGAAATACTAGCATTAGTTTAGTACGTTCAAGTCCTTAGAAGCCTGACTCAGCCCTCGCGGGAGCAGCGGGCAGCACTTCGTGGTGGACGTGTAGCTTCCTGCCTTTAGTGGATGTGGGGGGAGTTCAGCTCCTTGGAACAGGAGAAAAAATAGGTGGTCTGGGGCGTGGGGACTGCTGAACCCCGACAGTGCGAGACCTATAGAAAATGCGTGAAGACAGAGGAGAACGTGGAGCGAAGCAGAGGCAGAAAAGTGCTTCCTCTTAAGCACTTGGTGATGCATAACTGGAGATGCAGACTGCAGTTCCTTCTCTTTCAAGTTAACCATATTGCATCTTTAAGTTCATCACTTCTGCTTTTGGATGGTGAAGGGAGAAACCCATGTAAAATTTACAAAATATTTCTGTAAGGAATAGTAGTAACTTTAATTGGTTACATTTCTTTGCTCAGGTGCCTGAGTGCTTCATAAATGCGTAGCAAAATCTTTTGGAGCTTACAGCTTGTTGTCCCCTCGCGTCTCTCCTAGCTGTATTAATAGAATGAAAAGGTTTATAATATATAAAGTGTTACATATCTTATCTTTGCTCAAATATAAATATATAAGAAGTGACCAAAAGTAACACTTACTTTCTCTTACATTTCTTTCCAAAGTTGTTAATGTAGTTTTTTTCCTGCAGTGGATTTTTTTCCCCTCTTTTTAAGGCATCTGTGTGCTAGTAAGCTTTGGTAATTTCGAATTATGTTTGATGATGTTTGATTATGTTTGATGATGTTAGTCAAAAGTTAGCCTGTCCACCAAAAAACTTAATATATGCACTAAAATATAGGAAAGATGAAGTTGGGTGTCTTTACAAAATCTGGACAGCAGGCCACATTGCCAGAACCCTCCAAGGAAACAACAGCAGTGATGTGCCTGTTGCAAACCCAGAGCGCCACGTGGGGCTGCCTTGCAAAGGAGGCAGAGGAACAGGAAAGGACTGTATGGATCCTTTGCGTTTCAGTTCACCCGTAAGCATGTAGGCTCCCTTCTGGGATAAATCCTTCTCTTTAAGATTGAACCAGGAACAGGCTTGACTACAGCCGGAGCAGAAACTCTAACTTTATGTGGTACAGACCGTAGCAGACTGTAACTCTAGGCGCGGCCTGGAGGTTTTTACACTGAACTGTATTTGCCAGGACGGTGCAGCTGGACTCCAGCATTCAGTGTTAGTGCCCGAGAGCTGCAGCTGCGCTTCTGCCTGCGCGTGCAGCGAGCCCGCTGCGGCCGCACGGGCTTTCCTGCAAAATCAGCAAGCTGGCGATGCCAAGGGCCTCGCTTAAGGCTCCCGGCGCAGAGGAACTGGCCGTTGAAGAGCTGTTCTGCCCAGCTCGCGCAGAGCGTCCCCGGTGCGCAGGGCAGCGCTGGGCAGCGGCTCTCACCGTTCGCTCGCCCTTTGGAGTCTGCTTAAGAAACAGCCGTAACATTGCTGAAATGCAAATGTTATTCAACTTCTTAGTATATTTTTGTCTAATGCTTTCATTATAAATCAGTATTTTTGGATTACTTGAACTCTTGTAAAAGCACCCTTGCATATAGTTTTCTACAAAATCTAAGAGAATTTTGAAATTAAAGCAAGAGAAGAAAACATGCACTTACCTTGTCAAGCTGTAGTCAAAATAAATGATGTTTTGTATTTTCACTTCCCTAGCAGTAAGACTTCTTTGTGCTTATATTTGCTGTGAGGACATGACCATTAACAGAGAGCAAATAAACGTGGACGATGCTGGTGTTTTTTGAACAAATCTGTAACTGAACTTGTGTGTCGTTTAGCCTGAGTGAGGAGCTAAACCACGGAGATGACACACTTCCTTTTTGGTAACAGCCGTGCCATGACATGTGAAAGGGGAAAAACACCAACGTGCCCAAATTAGCTTTCGGAGCAACAGGAAGCAGCCAGGAGCAGGAGGTCTGGAGGCCGCCGCTCGTGGCCCCGCCGCCGCCGCCGTGCTCGGGGTGGCCACAGCGTTCCCAGGAGCGGGGCTCCCCTGCAGTGAAAACTGCCCCTGTGCTTAGAGGGTTCGTTAGGTCTCTCCACAGTCTGCTGCTTTGCTTGAAAGACTTGAGGTGACGTTCACGTGAGATACAGTTACAGGTACTTGGAGCGCTGTACATGCTCACGAGTGACTGTTGAGTATTTTATTTTGTCCAGTCTCATAATGTTCAGAGCATCATTAAATAAGAACAAAAGCTTCTTAACCTTTTAGATTGCCTGGCTGTTTATCTGGGAGAACTAGATGATGACTTGAACCCCTAGCAAGTTGGATGAGTTGGACTTTGGACTATAGTTTTCTACTTTTGTTTTGAAAGAGGTTCTTAGCTCTTTTCCTGTAATGCAGTTTTGATTTAATTGATGCACTGTTGCTGTCTGTATGGGTTTTGTGTTTTTCCTGTTTTTTGAGAATTTGAATAAACCTCCTGTCTGCATGGAGGCCATTTGACTATACGGCGGCTTGCACAGCACTTGGGAAGGAACAGGGACTGAATCTGTGTCAAACTTGACCTTCTTAGCACATGTGAAGCCCTGCATGACAGAGAAGCCATCACTGGATAAGCACAGATGCTTTTGTGCTTTTGGTCTGTTAGCATTGTTAAAGATTTATGACGTTTTTAGGATTATGTTAAAGACAAATCTGTTTTAATATAATACTATTTTTACTATACCATGCAGATATTTGTCATGTGGCAAATGTTGTCTTCACTCTTTTTCTTACAGGTTCAAGACTGGCCAGATCAATGGGGATTTATTGATATACCATGTCCTGCTAACTCTGAAGCCATACTATGCAAAGCCATACGAGATTGTAGTGGACCTCACACACGCTGGCCCCAGTAATCGTTTTAAAACAGACTTCCTTTCTAAGTGGTTTGTAGTGTTTCCAGGCTTTGCTTATGAAAATGTCTCAGCAGTTTTTATTTATAACTGTAATTCTTGGGTCAGAGAATACACCAAATACCATGAAAGACTCCTGACAGGCTTAAAAGGAAGCAAAAGACTTATTTTTATAGACTCTCCAGGAAAGCTGGCAGAGCACATTGAGCACGACCAGCAAAAACTCCCGGCAGCTACCTTAGCTTTGGAGGAGGACTTGAAAGTGTTTCACAACGCTCTCAAACTGGCTCATAAAGACACCAAAGTTTCTATTAAGGTAAGGCTGCTTTAACTCTCTTTCTAGTGAATTCTTACATTTTGATAAGGGTTTGAATACATTTTTGCTCTCTCTTAATTCTGAGATCCTGGGAGGAAAATTCCAACTTATTAGTATATGCACATTAGGAAGTGTAGCACTTGCTATAGTTTCTTATAGTCAACTTTGGAAAACAGAAGTTTGAGACTTCTTTTTTTGCTCTTTGTATTGTTGACCAGTGGTGCTTGAAACATTTTTCTGTTCTGCTTTTAAGGTTGGCTCCACAGCTGTGCAAGTGACATCAGCCGAGCGAACAAGAGTCCTGGGACAAACAGTGTTTTTAAACGATATTTACTATGCCTCGGAAATTGAGGAAATATGTCTTGTTGATGAGAACCAGTTTACCTTGACCATTGCCAACCAAGGCACACCGCTCACCTTCATGCATCAGGAGTGCGAAGCCATCGTTCGGTCCATCATCCACATACGGACACGGTGGGAGCTGTCCCAGCCGGACTCCATCCCGCAGCACACCAAAATTCGCCCGAAGGATGTTCCTGGGACGCTGCTGAACATAGCGCTGCTCAACCTGGGAAGCTCAGACCCCAGTTTGCGGTACAGATCTTTTAAATTTCTACCACTTTTCATCAAAAAATAGGAATTCTGCCTAAGATATTCTTGATTCTAACTAATCTCTCTGGAACAAAACATTTTTTCTTCCATCATAGCTCTGCAAACATAAAAAAGTACTTTTTAAGTCCAAGATTTTTCTAAAGAAAGATTACCTTTTTTGTAGCTGAAGAAAAACATTCATATTGTCTGAGTGACTGGAAGCATTTAGGAAATTTTATTTCTACTTGTAAAGAGAAATACTTCTTTGCAATGTCTTATTGGTCAGACTTGAATTTTCATGGTATTGAATGTCTTGCGTGAAATCTCGGGAATGGAATCTCTGAGAACAGGACAGGGTCTTGTCAGAAGGGACTCTTGCAAAATGGGTAGTGGCTCAGTGGGAGCCTTGGGGCCCTTGGCGACCCCTTTCCCAGCAGCTCAGGTGCACTGGGAAATACTTAGCGCTTTGCAGGACCAGGTGTCTCTCTGACAAGTCCAGTATTTTCTAACTTCATCAGAGATCATTTAAAATAAGTGGAGGAGTAACCTCACTCACTTCTCCAGGGCAAGTGCTGTTGTCTGTGAGCCGTAATGGCTGCAGGAAAAAAGTGAAGGGTTTGAGTGTAGTTGCTAACCTGGCAATATTGATTTGATATTAAAAATGTCAGCATCACTACTGTGATATTTTAGTGTAATGCCTATAAGATATATGAGAAAAGTATTACGAGTCATGTTGTTTGCTTTGTTCTAGGTCTGCTGCCTATAATCTTCTATGTGCCTTAACCTGTACCTTTAATTTAAAGATCGAGGGCCAGTTACTGGAAACTTCAGGTCTGTGTATTCCTGCCAACAACACACTCTTTATTGTGTCTATTAGTAAAACTCTTGCAGCTAACGAACCACACCTTACCCTGGAGTTCTTGGAAGAGTGCATTTCTGGATTTAGCAAATCTAGTAAGTATCAACCTAGTAAGTTGTGGCCAACTCTCCTGGCTGTTTTAGCTATCTCTGTTACTGAGTCACAGTAAGGGCTAATTGCGAATGTTTTCTTAGAGCAATTTAGATGAGTTTCAAGACTGTGTTTGTATCCGTTCCTTAATTATCAATTGTATAATGCTCTGAAACTGAGCATCATGATGAGATGGGCTGGAATCTGTTGGAGCAAAACCCTCACTTCATTTGTCCACTTGAATGTGCCTTTTCATTTCTGATGAACAAAATTAAAAAAAATCTGTCTTTTATATTCTGAAATTAATGTTGGAACAAGTCTCCCTAGACATCTCAGTGCTTTGGAATGAGTAGGTTTATTCTGAGAAATCACAATATGGGCTATTTGTTTCCTAGGGCTGTTGTTAATTTTGTACAGTATGTACTTTAGATCCATATCAGGTTGCTAATAACTCTTCAGAAATGCTGCACACCAAAACCCAGGCTGACATCCACGACAGTGACAAAGAGCTTACAAGGCTTTTTCAACATATACCATTTAGATAATTCTTTCAGATTATTTTTATCTCTTTTATTAGTAAATCTCATTCTATTCATTATATTAAAAGCAGTTTAGAATACCTTCTCAAGATGGAAAAAAAACCTTAAGTCCTCTCTAATACTGAGTTTACATATCCTTACCTTATAGCTCTTAATTAAAATGGCAAAATCTTGCCAGATTCCTACAGAAGTTTCTTGGATGTTGTTATTAGAGTATGTTGCTTTGGAGGCTTGTCTTTTTGCCCAGTCACATTTGTTCAGATCTTCTACCAACCTCCTCCACCCATTTAGACAGTAATTCTGTTAGACTGTGCAATTGAAATGAAAAGGGCTTGCAAGTAATTCTTTACAGGTAGGTAGAGACCAGGTCTGCTTTCATTTTACAATGTGAATTTTTATTTCAGGTATTGAACTGAAGCATCTTTGTCTGGAATACATGACTCCCTGGTTATCAAATCTGGTGCGATTCTGCAAACACAATGACGATGCCAAGCGCCAGCGGGTCACCGCCATTCTTGATAAGCTCATCACAATGACGATAAATGAAAAGCAGATGTATCCTTCCATTCAAGCTAAGATATGGGGGAGTCTTGGACAGGTACAAGTTCTTCATAATTTACTGCAATTTATATATGAGCAGCAAATTATGGTGTTTTTAATCACAATGTTGATGAGGGAAAATACAATGTACCTTGATAGGACCGAAGTATATTAACTGTATGCAGAAAAGAGCATATGTTTCTTTTCTGTAAAAATACTTTTAATCCATTGACTAACTACTGAACTCTAAATTTAGGAGTGTGTTATTGGACCCTGTTGAAAATTAAAGGTTTTTGGTTTGGTATTAGTCATAAATATTTCTTCAATTCACAATGAAAGTATTAGTTGAATATCATTCAACTAAAACGAATGATTACTTATTCAAAAAGCTGTTTACTGCAGAAAAATAAAGTTAATTTAAGAGATAGTGACTTTGTGTTTTGTTTTCTCCAACAGATAACAGATCTGCTTGATGTAGTGCTGGACAGTTTCATCAAAACTAGTGCCACAGGAGGGTTGGGATCCATAAAAGCTGAGGTTATGGCAGACACAGCTGTAGCTCTTGCATCTGGAAATGTGAAATTGGTTTCAAGCAAAGTGAGTGCCTTTGCCTTATTTTCTCTTATATAATAATTTCACTTGAGCAAATAATATGACATTGTGTTTTCTGAATAGTGACTGTCAGGCAACAAATTTCATAAAATGTATTCCTAGCAACAAAATAATTCCAGTGCTAAACTATAAGGGGTTTGACTGATTTTTTTTAGCTCTGCTCTTCATTTGATTAAGACACATGGTTGCTGTCTTTCAGGTAATTGGAAGGATGTGTAAAATAATTGACAAGACCTGTCTGTCTCCAACTCCTACATTAGAACAGCACCTGATGTGGGATGATATTGCTATTCTAGCCCGTTACATGCTGATGCTCTCCTTCAACAACTCTCTGGATGTGGCGGCACATCTGCCCTACCTCTTCCATGTAGTCACTTTATTGGTGGCTACTGGTCCCCTTTCTCTCAGAGCTTCCACTCACGGTCTGGTCATCAACATCATTCATTCTCTGTGCACTTGTTCACAGCTTCACTTCAGTGGTAAGTTTTTGTCAGATAATACATTAAGTTGTTTGCTCCTCTAGTTTAAGAAATATTTGAGGTGTATTTTCACTTTCATGAAGATATTGTATACCATGCCACTAATGGGATTAAAATATCTTTTCAGGTTGGAGAGGAACATAGGAGTCGTAGTGCAGACAAGGATAGACAAGGTCAAGTTGCTTTTGGAATGATTTGATTTTAGTTGCAATGAAGCTAATGGAAAGTTACCTCTGATTATCAAAACTTAGAAAAATATAGCCGAGTTGAAATACCTTTTACTGCAACAGTTCAGGAGTAACCTTGCTTTTTGGCATTTAAAACATAGCTGCTGAGATGAGTAGCTAAGACAAAGAGAAATGTTTAGTAAGCCTGAGCAGATAAGTAAGCAGTATGCGTGTGGCGAAGGTTAATTTCTGTGATACTAAGAAATCTCTTCAAGTTTGAAAATACTGTGTTACTACTTAATTTGCAGATGAGCTAGCTAATAAGCTGAACTAGGTAACAGAATGGAGATGAAATATGGCTCTCTGGACAGGTGTATAATGAAAAAATTTTTATATAACTGGTTTCTGAAAAAGGGAAGGAAGTAAATATCAGTTAGTATCTCTAATGCAGCTAAGAGAGAAAATACTCCTGTGCTAAATTGGGCTGATGTACCTCTTTTGCATGATTGCATAATGTGGTAACAAAAATATCAATTACATAAGGCAATTGTGAAACTACTATTAACACAGGTATTTTGCATACTGCTGTATCTTAGCAGTCCTAAACTAATTAAAATCTAAATGCCTGTATTAGCAATTAAGTACCTGTTGTTTATTATCACAGAAATGCAGTTTAAAACCAGACTAGATGTTGTACAGAAATATTTACACATTTATTCAAGTTTACAAGTATGTTAAGGCTCATTCGATAAAGATATGGAGCGAGAGAGTGAGAACATCTGCGTGTGGCTAGAGAGAAATGCACGCACGTGCACACACGCTCCATCAGCAAAACCAAATCCAAAAGCCCTGCCCTTGTCACTGCTCATTCTGGGACCAGTAGCAGGGAAGCAGTATTGGAATGTGCAGGCTGCTATCCCGGATCGTTCCTGACCTTGGTTTTCATGGGAGGGTTATCTTAAAAGTGTTGAAATATGATTTGAGTTTCAGTGTGTTAAATATGTAAAAAACTTATCCAACAGAGGAGACCAAGCAGGTGCTAAGGCTGAGCCTGACCGAGTTCTCTCTGCCCAAGTTCTACTTGCTGTTTGGAATCAGCAAAGTGAAGTCGGCAGCAGTCATCGCCTTCCGCTCCAGCTACCGGGACAGGTCCTTCTCCCCCGGCTCCTACGAGAGGGAGACCTTCGCACTCACTTCCCTGGAAACTGTCACCGAGGCGTTGCTGGAGATCATGGAGGTAGGTAGTGCAAAACAACGTACGTTATCCAGAGGGGAAAACAGCTTTCCTTACACGTCCTGCAGGCAAGCAGTGTAGTGAGATGTGCCTCCCATCATGTGGTAATGAATAAGTAGCTGACTGCTGAATTAAAGCACTGCACGTTCTGAATTTTAAAAATACTTTGCCGTAATGTTGCATTTATTCAAACAATGTAATTCTTTTTAGGCTTGTATGAGAGATATTCCAACATGCAAGTGGCTGGACCAGTGGACTGAGCTAGCTCAAAAGTATGTTGTAGATCACAAAACGTAACCCCTATTTGCCTGTGTAGCACGCTTACAATTCTCACTTTTTTATTATACAGCCTATTTGTGTAAATGTTTGTCTAATCCAGTGTACTTTGTTTCTTCACAGGTTTGCATTCCAATATAATCCATCTCTGCAGCCAAGAGCACTTGTTGTCTTTGGCTGTATAAGCAAACGTGTCTCTCATGGACAAATAAAACAAATAATCCGAATTCTTAGCAAGGTGTGTGCATGTGTGTCTCTCTTCCTTTCTGACTAATAATTTGTATAATTTGTAAATATTTTGTAAAACTCTTCTAGAATGCATTTAAAATGAGTTTGAGCTTTATAAATTGACAGCTGTGTTTACTGTGTAAACTATGTTTGCTTTTATCTTTTTACGAAGTAAAATCTAATTATGGTTTCTGTTTCCTATACTGCTTTTTCTATGAAAAGGGACTTGAGAGCTGTTTAAAAGGTCCTGATAATTACAACAGTCAAGTTCTAATAGAAGCTACAGTCATAGCACTCACCAAACTGCAACCTCTTCTTAATAAAGTAAGCAACTGTGGATGTTTGTTGTTTTGTATATTTGAAAAATAAACAGGGAACATTTTTTTGTAAATGAAAATTGTGATTATGGGTGTCACCTCAAGGCGTGAGGCCGTATCCAAAGTTCATGCTTCACTGCTGCAGTGCTTGCTCAGAAATCCTGCATATGGGAAGGACTTCATAGAAGCTTGAGTTTGGGACTTGTACGAAAACAGAAAAGCTTCAAAATGGTTAGAACAAACTGTTCTGCTGCCTCAAACTGAGCAGGAGCCGGGGAGACAGAGACCATGCTGCCTCTGTCTTAATTCTTTCTAAAGCTCTTTGGTCTTGGCTTTCAAATGTATGACTGGTCATACATGCCCTTTGGATCCAGGTTGTAATAAATGTTAGACTTGTCTGATTTGAAAATAATCTAGTCATCTGTATATTACTTTAGAGCTCTTAACTGGCAACATAGCAATATACCAACAGGCCCGCCACTATGAAAGAGGGAGTTTCCTGGTGCGACTGGGTTGATATACGGCAAAAAGGAGGGCGCTTGGTTAGAAGAAGGGCCAAGATCCTGAAGGGGATTTCTGGAGAGCGTGGCCTTGTCTGCAGCTTCATATTTGCTGCACACTGTATTTGAAAATGTCCTCAGAAAATAAATTAACGTTGGTATCCCTGGCAAGAGCGTGTGAAGGGCTCATTTAATATGCCTGCTTGACTTTCATTCACAGAGCCAAAGGATTTAGGCACAGTTTGTTAGTCTTCTTGATTTCACTGCATTTTGCTCTTTCCATGGTGACTTTACACAGGCTGAGTTGTCTGGACCATCTGGATAGCTCTGTGTCATTTAAAATTAACAGTGAGTCTCAGCAGTAGCAGTTGTGTATGCTGCTTGAGCTTCTGGTGCTCTCTTTCCTCCCGTTAGTGTGCATGAACTTACCCTGCAAATGAAGCTGACGACTTAATTGTCCTTTACGAGATGCCCCCAGCTGCCACTGTTTGCATTGCACGTTATTTTCACATATAGTACTTTGCAGAGAGGGTTACAGTAGTATCTATTGCTAGCAAAGACAACTTGTTCCCATAAAATCTACTGTGTAAGTGGCCTTAGATTTGTTGAATGCCAAGTCTTCCTATATACTTGTTCTAGGGGTGGAATTGCCAGACACTTATTTGTGCAGAATTGCAGTCTGTTTTCCTGTGTTCTCACTCAGGATGGTAAAGATCCATGTATTGTTCAGTCTGATGCAGGGCAATATGCCCTGGACATGCTGATGAGCCAAGGAAGGGGTAGAAGAGAGGAGCAAAGAGAAGGTTGACATTAATTTGCTTCAAACTTTCACCTGGGAGGTGCTTCAGGACAAGTTCGTGAACATCTGTTTTGTTCTCAAGCTGTACATGTTTGAGGAGAGAACTTGTTACGAGAAGGATAGCAGTGTATAGGCAAGAGCGTATAGCACATACGCAAGAGCGTGTATTCACCCTGTTTCTTTTCAGTTATAGGAACTGACTTGAAAATGAAATAATGGCTTTTTTTTTCTTCCTTCTAGGACTCTCCTATGCACAAGGCCCTCTTTTGGGTAGCTATGGCAGTGCTGCAGCTCGATGAAGTTAACCTGTATTCCGCAGGCACAGCGCTGCTTGAGCAGAATCTGCATACCTTGGACAGCCTTCGGGTGTTCAATGACAAGGTGAGCAAGCCCTCGTAATAAACCGTTATAGGAGCAGCTAGACACATTCAAAAGGAAAAAAAATCTTTATTGTTATGATCACTGGTTACGCAACTACAACTAAAAACTGTATTGCAAATAGTGTCCTAGAAGCACCAAAAATAAAACTGCAATGTAGAGATAAAGCTTGTGCTATTTGTTCCAGACTGGAATGGAGATATATAGATTATGTTCTAGTCAAGATTTTTTTTTTAATGTGAATTCTTAAAATTATTATATTTTTGTCCTTCTTTAAAAATTTGAGGTGTACCTAACTTTCAATGAGATAATCCTGTATTTTGTTTTTCCTGGGTCAGAGCCCGGAAGAGGCGTTTATGGAGATCAGGAGACCCCTGGAATGGCACTGTAAACAGATGGATCATTTTGTTGGGCTAAATTTCAACTCCAACTTTAATTTTGCGCTAGTGGGACATCTCCTGAAAGGTAAGAACACAGATTTCTGTTCATTTTGCATGTCACACTCCTAATTCAGAAACAAAAGCAAGGGATACAGGAAAGAATTTTGTGATTGATGTTTAAGTAACTTATTCCAGCTGCGTGGAACACAGAGTAGATGCAAGATTAAATATCTTTCGACTTAAAGACTTTGCCACAATCCCTAAAAAAGTTTTTGATGTGGCTGAACTGTGCAGAGATGTGTGACTTCATTTGCTGCTGTTCTTTATTTCTTCTTTCAGAAATGCTTTCTTTCTCCATTTGTTTGACTATATTCAGGCTTTCTGTTTATTCTAGGGGATTGATTTATGAGAAAAAGGATATAAGCACAGATATTCAAAATGATGTGATTTTTGGAGGAGGGACCTAAAAAATATTTCCTTGAATGTGCAGTTTCTGTTAGCATTGCTTGCATGCACTATACTGCTACTTATAGTACTACTTCCACTGCTTTCCTGAGAACATGATGAAAAATATTTCAAGTATTTTACAAATATTAATGCTTTATAAATCTACATTCAAAAAATAAACACTATATTCTGGTTTCTTAACCTCCTTTCTTAGGGTACAGGCATCCATCCCCTACCACTGTAGCAAGAACTGTAAGGATTTTGCACACACTACTAGCCTTGGTCAACAAGCATAGGAATTGTGACAAGTTTGAGGTGAACACCCAAACTGTGGCTTACCTAGCAGGTAAAATTTAACACATTCAAACAAAAAAAAAGCAACATGCTTTTAGAGTTGGGGTATTTGGGAGTTCTTTGTGGCCTTAGGTTGATGAAAATTTCACCAGCTCTGTGTACCAGTTGTAGGGGTTTGTCTGGGGCAGGGCGGCGGGTGCCTTGCGCTCAGCGCGTGCGACCGCGCAGCTTTGCACACGCTTCAGGAGGCTGCTGGCGTTTGGGCTACCCAGATGCTTAAGCGCCTGCCCTTAGAGCATTCAAACTCCTAGCTGCCTAGAAATAGGAAATCTTGATCACGTAGAGGGAGAACTTTTAAAACTAATTGGATTGAGAAATAAAATGTTTTTTAGTCACTTGCAATCTCTACATTTCAGCAAGGCATAATTACATTTCACGGAACTTGGTGCTAAATAAATTTAAATGGATGGAGCATTATCTGCTTTCTTCACTGTGCTGCAATCCTGGAAAACTTACATTAGCTTTCTTTGCATTTTTAGCTTTGCTGACAGTATCTGAGGAAGTTCGAAGTCGCTGCAGCTTAAAGCATCGGAAGTCTCTCTTGTTGACAGATGTTTCAATGGAAAATGTACCTATGGATACATATCCCATACATCACAGTGACACTAGCTATCGGTCAGTTATTTCTCTTTATTCGAGAATTACAAGTTACTTGCTACTTAATTGTTAATAAACAGTTATCCAAGTGTTAATGTCTATTTCCTTTAGTAAGTTGTCTTTAGATAACCTCTGATATATGAAAAACTAGGTCCCACAAAGCTAAATAAACTTCAGTTGCATGTTAGTGATTCCAAACTGATGATTGCTCAACATTGCTCAAGATTCACAGGGAAATTTGGCTGTCAAGTTCCTAGCGACTTGGTTTTTAGATCCATAAAATTATTTCAGAACTTAACTGGTCTAGTGGTTCTTAACCTTTTTGCTGGCCCCGTTCCATAAGACTTTTTTTTCATCTCTTTGTTAGAACAAATTTCTATTTGTCCCTAAGGGCCTCAAGACCTATAACCGAGCAGTCACTTAGTGCCTCAGCTCATAACTTGTCCCTGCACAGGCACAGAGGTGAGCCTAGGGAGTCAACCTGTGTCGTGAAGAGCCTGGCTTGCCAGTAGTCGGGGTTTTTTGCATCCAGTTTGGAGGAGCTGACTGTTACATGTCGCTCACCTTGCCTTTTAGGTTGATTTACATCTGATCTATTTGGTTGTTTGATTTTTATCCTCAGTATTTTGTTGAGATTCAGATTTTATTCAGATTCTTAGTTTTAATTGGCTTAAACAGTTTTTGCAGGCAAAGTAATTATTTTTTCTTAGTGTGTATTTCTGAGAGAATAGTCCATTAGGAGAGATTGTTTTAATGAAGGATACCTTGACTAGCTGAAAATTTTATGCCTACGTGTGCACAGTTTGAAGAGTGCTGTCATTGAATTTCTCTGCACTTTCAGGACACTAAAGGAAAATCAACCGTGGTCATCACCAAAGGGGTCGGAAAGACACCTAGCTGCAAGTTACCCAACAGTGGGACAGATAAGCCCTCGAACCCGAAAGTCCATGAGCTTGGATATGGGGCAGCCTTCACAAGCCAACACTAAAAAACTTCTAGGTTATAAAGACACCTAATCTGCTATTTTTTTTCTACAGATAATCCCAGGAGTATTCTTTTATACTGAATTTTATACCAAATTTAAGTTCCTGATTCAAAGGAATATTTGCAGCTTCTGTAAAATACAAATTGCAAAACACTGTGCAATTAGGAGTTCTGATCCAGTTCTTTTGATCAGAGAAGGGGGATGGAGTGTGAGTGATGCTCCAAACATGCATGTTGAAGTGGCAAAAAAAGGATGTTCCAGGTGTTAAAGATTCAGAGTGTCAATTCTTTTCCACCAGCCCTCCTGCAGACACACCAATAAGCTGAATATCGTAGCTTATGTTAGAAGAAGTGTTTCCAAAACATTTTAGGAGTTCTAGGAGCAAACTATTTTTTATTCATGGCCTTTCAATGCATCAGGGTTATGAGGAAAGTGTTCATATTAGAGAAACAAGATAAATTGTTTGTGTGGTATAGATGGATGAATAGGAGAACTTCTCATTACGATCCTGTTACTTCTTCCTTCTCAGTAATCCCATTTTGGCATGTTTATTCAGTGTAACATGTTGACTAGGAAACCATAGCATGCCCACAAGCTTACATAATTGAATAAATTGCATGCTATACTCATATGTATGGTGAAGCATTTTGGAAACTGCGATGGAGAGCGGCATGTGTGACTGTATTTTCTCTACCACCACTGAGAATGGTGATCATGTCCCCAGATTCCTATCAGTATGTTGTAGTTAAGATATAACTGGGCAAGAAAAATACACACCCTGCAAATCAGAAACACTTGCAGTATGGATTTAGCTTTAATGTTTTTAATTTCCTGATAAATTGTTTTTAGGTACAAGGAAAAGTTTTGACCATTTGATATCGGACACAAAGGCTCCTAAAAGGCAAGACATGGAATCTGGAATCACAACGCCCCCCAAAATGAGGAGAGTAGCCGAAAATGATTATGAAATGGGTGAGAAACAGGACTAACATTTTAAGAATAATGCCTATTGTAAATGCCTTGTATGTACATACAGAGGATTATTTCTAAAATTAATGTTCATTTGCTTGGGTTACTACAAGGTAAGGGATAAGTACTTTTCTTAATGGCATCTGGAGAGATTTGAATTAAGAGTTTGCTCAGTTGACAGATCCAGAATAAGGAGCAGCTATAAATTACAGCATATAGGAGCGAAATGAAATAAAATTTGGCTTTCTATAAGTGACTAAGTCCTAAGTGCAGATTTTTGCACACGATGCAATGAGACTTATGCCTAGAATGCCTCTCTTCATCTTCTGCCCCATCTGCTTCCTGTGCCCCCACCCCAATTGCAATGCAAGACCAGGGTTCTTCTGGTGTATCTGATGTTGGTCTGCTGCCTGACCCTGACTATGTTACTTACCACCCCTGGGCCTGTATTTCACTAAAGAGGAAATTGGGGTTACTCTTCACCATCTGATAATACATCCCATGTGACAGTCTAGCACCACTAGTATGACAGCATCATTGTTGCTTTTACATTTTACAGAAAGGCCGTTGATCTCCGAAGTTTGCGTGTGAGTGAAGTTGTTGTGCAAGAACTAACTCTGTTTGGTTTATTGTGCTTTGGATGAGTTACTCTTTTCTGTCTGGCAGAAACCCAGAGAATATCACCACAGCAACACCCACATCTTCGAAAAGTCTCTGTTTCTGAGTCAAATGTCCTCCTAGATGAAGAAGTTCTGACTGATCCCAAAATTCAAGCACTCCTGCTTACAGTTCTTGTAAGCCTCCTTTCTGTGTGTTATTATGCATTATTTTCTGAGGGCCATTTAGCTTCAGAAGGCACATATATGTCACTGCAGTAGATCTGCCTGGATCAGAATCAGTGTGGGATATGTAATTGTATTCTTTTGCTGCCATTCTTCAAACGTGCTAGGATTCACTTTTAGGAATGTATTTAAATTCTGTAAGAACAAATACTGAAATTTCATTATTTGGTATTTTTCTGTAAGACATCTGCTGTGGTCCTCTTTTCTTGGGGGAGAGATATCAGAAGCTAACTTTATATAATAAGAGGATTTTATATATTATATTTTAAGTTGCACCAAAATATTTGCTAAAACAAAAACTATTGTCAACTGTTTGCTCCTCATGTAAATATAAAATACTTTATCGTGTTTGGACCTAGAGTCAAAGTGGTGTTTCATAATGCAGCTTTTCTGCAATTCAGAGTTCTTAAAACTTTAAACTAAACAAAAGCAGCAAAAAAAAAGAAAAAAAGCAAATGGTATCTTCTTGGAGTGAGAAGCGTGCTGATGTCCCGCTTTGCGTTGTGGCAGGCAACGTTAGTGAAGTACACTACTGATGAATTTGACCAGCGGATTCTTTATGAGTATTTAGCAGAAGCAAGTGTTGTCTTCCCAAAGGTCTTTCCTGTTGTGTAAGTATCTAAAACTCTCTTTATATAATATGAGTCTTAAAAAAAAACCCTAAAAAATCACCCATTGCTAGGTTAGTAGCTAAAATCTTTGCTTTGTAGAGACAATTATCTGCAGCAGTTTGAGAATTTCCTTTCCTCTGCGTTAGAGGAATGCAGCGTCCTTACAAGAAGAGGCAGCCTCCGGAGCGCTGCTCCCGGCGCTCCTCAGGAGGGTGCCCGGCACAGCCGTCGCTCCCCGCTGCAGCGCCCTGCGGGTCGGTGCTGCCAGAGTCTGGCCTAGCAATTGAGCGGGGCTACTTGGTACGGCAGAGAAACACATCACATTTTGATGTGTTCATGCAGTTTCTATACAAGCCAATATAGCCTTTCTCCCTACTCGCATCTGGATTTTTTAATAGTGCCTCAGATGGATATCAGAGCAGTTTGCAGCATTGTTCAAGATGCTCTTTAGGTATCAGTTATACACAGTGTTCATAACATCGTCAGCACATGTTAGCAAAGCCCTGCTCAGATACTGATTTGAGTAGAGTGCAAGTGTGCAAGTTTCTAGTGAAAATTCTTCAATTAAAAATATCCAGAATATTTGCAGCTAGATAAAGAGAAGAATGGGTTACGCTCTTATAGTTCTGTGTCTTCTGAGTCCTCACTGAACATCTGCAGGAATTACACGATGCTTTTAACATTACAAGGAGCTTTTGAAAATCTCACCTTAGTAACTGTTTGTTAAAGTCAGTTGTGAATTACAATTTTGTTTAATTTTACTTAATTTAATAAACAAAAATAAGCCACTGCTCTTTTTTTTCTTTAGGCATAATTTATTGGATTCCAAGATCAATACCCTTCTGTCTCTGTGCCAGGATCCAAACTTGTTAAATCCAATTCATGGGATTGTTCAGAGCGTTGTCTACCATGAAGAATCCCCACCCCAGTACCAAACTTCTTATCTACAAAGTAAATATCTTTCTTTTTGTTAGGCAGTTGTGTTTAAATTTAGATTTACTAATGGAAAAGCCTCAGGATTAGCAAAATAATCCGTTTTGTTACGTGGAATCTCTTCGACTTTATAAATCCTAGTAATTAAAAAGCATTCATATATTAAACGACCACTAACATGAATGTTAAGCTGCTTGTTGCAGCTGCACATCAATAATTGAAGTGTAAAACCATCTGCATGAGTAGACGGTAGAAAAGAAGTTGAAACTTGTGTTGTTTCCACTACCCAAGTTGAGGGCAGTACAAAACATAAATGATGGAGGCAAATGAAGTTAGACTTGTGAATCGAGGATAGATTCAATTATGTGGTGTTATTGGAAAAATCTATGGAGTAACATTTTATTTTGAGTGACCAGCTCCAGTTTCTCATGAGACTTAAACACTTAAAACCTAATTTTTTTTAGTGACTGTTAACCAAAGACTTCCCTGAATATCCATAAGAAAGAAGTTTTAATTGAGAGACTTGTAAACATTGACATGATTTTTAAAGTGAGATGTGTGTTCATATGCTATATTTATGATCTAAAATATCACCAAGAATTTCATACATGAATAGCCTAGTGGTTTTGTGGTAACATTCAATACATTTTTGTAGGTTTTGGATTTAATGGGTTATGGAGATTTGCTGGCCCATTTTCCAAGGTAAGAAAAAAATATATATATAATTTTATCAGTGTTTTACTTTCTGTGTAAAGTATGTCCATGATGTCCCAGTAAAGATGCAAATATCTGTTACAATATGGTAGTGATAAGAACAAGCTAGTGGTCATTAGGCTTTGGGGCCCCAGCAGTGATTAGTAACTTGTGAGGTCCAGGTAAGCTGGTAAGTTGTGAAGAAATCTGCTCCTTCTTGCTGACTTCAGTTGCAAGTGATCTTTAATATGTTCCATTAGTTTAACCTGGAGGAGCCCCCAAAGTAGATTTCTACAGGTATTCACATCAAATGCTTTTCAAAGTTTTCACTTAAAATAAGTTTGATAGTAGAATGAATTCTAGGGCAAAACTTGTAGTAGCAAAAATAATAGAAGGAAATGAATCAATCTTTTTTCCTCTCCCTATCCACAGCAAACACAAATCCCAGACTATGCTGAGCTCATAGTGAAGTTTTTGGATGCCTTGATTGACACGTATCTGCCTGGGATTGATGAGGAGACCAGTGAAGAATCGCTCCTGACGCCCACATCTCCGTACCCTCCCGCCGTGCAGAGCCAGCTGAGCATAACTGCTAACCTAAACCTCTCCAATTCCATGACCTCGCTCGCAACCTCCCAGCACTCCCCAGGTCGGTAGCTCTTCTAATACTCCATAGGTAAGGGAATATCCTGAAGTTAGAGTTTGTTTAGTCAAATAGGCTCATCAACTCTTTGGGTGTGTTTATGCATCAAGCATCATTGTGTTCTGGCGTCGAATGAATATTAAGCTGTTGGCTAAGCTGTTACACTGATATTTCAGATGTTGGATTTTGTCCATCACGAAAGCTGTCTTCTAAGTTGTTGTGCATGGTGGAGATAACGCTAAGTGCATCCGAATGAACAACAGCTGCATCTTAGTATGGAACATATGCAGCCGTGGATCTTAGAAGATTAATAAATGTAAATGTATAATCACAGTATTTTTCAAGGAGAATATCTGTTTGGGTACTACAAGCTGACACACATTAGGAGAAACATTCGAGAACTCTGTTGAGCAGAAGAGAATGGGGGGGCTGGTTCAGTTTGTTGACTGTAAGGTTTAAGGCCAATACACTTAAACAGGCAGCATTATAGGGAGGTCATAGTCCTCCCTGGAGAACAAAAAAGTGTTCCTGTGTGTATACATGGAATCCTGGGTCAGTTCAGACCACCGAATAACCAATATCACCTCCGGTGATAAAATGAAGCATTCAGGAAGAAACAGCGAGAGACTGAGAAGAGAAACATGGAGTAGCTTAGCTGGCTCAGGGAGATGGGAATTAATTGCAAGTTGGTGCAGAGGTTAAATTTAGCAGCATAGGTTTTCAGGTGTGAGAAATGAGAGGAATCAAAAAGTATTCCCTATAGTATATAGGGAATATATAGTATAAGCTAGGGGAGATGAAATGTAAGAAGAAAACAGAATGGATATCAAAGCAAGCTGCATGAAGTGGTTTTGGACTACTGGCCCATACATCAAGGGCGTTCTTTGCTCCTCTGTCATAAGAATTATCTCTGTGATGCTTCTTGTGTGTGTTTTAGCTGCAGCAGTTCTGAATGCTGAAGATGGTCAGGTTTTTTATATCTGTTTTATTTCTAGCTTTAGTGGAAGGTTAGTAGGTTAGTAACCACTTGCACTTAAGTCTAATCAGCATGTTTTTTTATGATCATTACTTTGCTCAGTGATGCTATGCATGTTTTGTTATTAAATATAATGAATATATATTCATTATATATCCGTATACTATTCAACATGCAGAGGTGAGACATTGATCTGTCTCAATCTAAACGGTGTTTCCTCTCCATCTCTTACCATTTATTGGTGTCTTGCTGAATTCCTTGAGTCCTCACTTCATCCTAGCAGCCTGAACACAAAGAGGAGGTTCAGTTTGGGCTCTTGGCCCGGGGCCGGCCACAGCAGGAGCTTTGCATTTGGCGCTTCCCTCGCAGCGGCTCTGCACTGCTTGGCTTTGGTCAGTGCACCATTTACACTAGTTTAAGCTGCCATATTAGCCAGTACAATTTTGCCTACAGTAAGACTTGCTTTTTAAGATGTTTAATTATATTAAAAAATAAATCAGTCTTCTCTGGCCACTTTGTACATAGTGGTACGGTAGCATTATTTTTGCTGCATTTATTGGCCTGTTCTTTCCTCATTATATTGACAAGTGTGAGAGCCGAAGTAGTGAACGACCTGCAAACTACCAAGGAAAAAAAATATTGGTGAAAGAATTTTAGCCTGTGAAGTAAAAGCGGACCACAGATTTCTTAGAAGAGCGAGGCAGCCATGGTACTAGCAGGAAATGCAGTGGGGTCACCCCCTTACCCTCATCTGAGAACCACTGAACAAGAAAATCAAGTATTTTAGCAGTGCTGAGTTACTTTATCACACTGAGAAAAAGAAATCGTTTTATCAGAGTAAGTTTTCTTATTATGGTAACAAATATATTAAGTTGCAGACATGTGAAAAATTCCATTTCTCGCTTCTGGATGCCTAACTCTGCAAAATCATTGTTGATGAATGTTTTGTCTGTCACCATTTCTTCTCCCCTCCCCTGTCATGGGCATTATTCACTTACGGTTTCTTCTTTCATTCTGTGTCTGTGAAGCTTCTCTGCCTTGCTCTAAATCTGCAGTTTTCATGCAGCTTCCTCATCAAGGTACATTCTACTTTCATCCTATTTGCACGAGATTCTGCTTGATCTGCTTTAGGGTTGGGCTTGCGGCATGAGAAGCAATTTACTGATCCTTTAAACACGGGAATGGCTAAGCCAGTGTAACTGCTAAGCTGCTGCATTTCTTGTGTGATGCTAATGATAATACGTGATGATATAACAAGCAAAAAGATCACATCCTTAGGAATAAAATAGATTTGGTAATAGAGAATGGGTAGTTTGAGACAGGCAGCTTCCCCGTTGCAGATATTAAGCTAAAATACAGAATTTATTTCATCTGAGCTCTTTAGATTTGTAAGAGGTCAGCTTTAACATCAGGCACCAGCAGGATGCAACATGATTTTGCTGGATTAAGTTGTAGCAGATGGAGGCCCAATAACCTGGATACTCAGCAACATCATTTAATTTGTGCTTCTATCTGGAGATGTCAGTAAAAGCTGACGTTTTTTTGGCTCCCACCTGTGAGCTGCTCCCTTTTGCCACCGCAGCCGGGGTTTGTGAGCTGACACCCACACAAGGAGGGGAAGGACAGGGCTGCCCACAGGCAGCTTCCAGCTAGAGCTCGGAAACTGTCCCTGAAACTGTGTGCAACAGCGCTGAACGTCCTCTGTTCCTGTAACGCAAACTAAAGGAAATTTCATATATGAATGAGACAAGATTCTCTGGGAGACATAATTTGTAATGATAGGATTGTGCCCTACTCTCTTTATTCACTGTCATACATCCTAAATTTTGCCATTGACTGCACTTTTAGCCTCTCTCATGACAGCGTTTTCCGCCCGCTGTTCATTGCGATGCCGCACGCCTGAGCGTAAGCGGCGAGAGGGTGGGTAAAGCTGCAGCCAAGACACTGGGCTTGCTGCAGAAGCCCCGGGGCCTGAGCGGGGGGACAGGCGTCATTCTGTCCAGGGGCACCAGGATGGAGGCAGTAACTGCCTGGGGCTCATCTACGCTGAGCCGCGTGTTCAGCTTTGGTGGCCTCTGCCGCTGCTCTCTGCGTGGTTCCCAGTAACAGTGTCAGGAAACAGTTTCTGTAGATGTTGTTTTTTATGTATTGATCCTTCTGGCCAGGATTTGAATCACTCTAGTTGGTATCTACACTTTGACATTTAACTCAAGTGATAACGTGCATCATTGTGCCTCTGATGCCTACAAAGTAAACCTTCCAGCTCCTATTCCCCCTCGCAGCGTTACCCGTTTGTCTGCTAACACACTTGCTGTGATCCTTCCGCTGGTGAGCGGTTTGTGTGGGGGGAGTTGGTGCAGAAGTGCTCTCTGACACCAGCAGCAGCTCCTGCCGCCAGAGCACAGCCTTGCAGTCTGCGGCCTGAGCCCTTCCCTTGGTGCCAGACACTCGTTCTGGTCTGGAGGAAACCCATAGCACAGGCACATGTTCCGTCTCCATTCCCCCTCCTGGGGAATAGGAAGGCTGGAGAGATTTGTATTAAACATGTGGTTTGTTTGGTGGGACTCTTAGAGCTCAGCGAGTGTCTCTGAGCTGGAGCCCGAGAGGCCTCCACGCGACTGGGGCAGGTTTGTCCCTGCAGCCCTCTGCTCCACCGCAGCCCCTGCAGCATCATGCCTGAGGGCTGCTCCAGCGCACACCCGTGTGCATGGCCAGGGCTCTCAGAGGAGCCATGTGCAGTCCCTGCCCTGCTGCTGTGTGCGGTTTGGCTCTACACAGAGCCCACTGGAAGCGAGCGCCGTGTTGCCCTCTCTGCCCCGGCGCTCACTTGTGGCGGCTGGAGCCCAGTGTGGTGGTTCGACTTGAGGGGTCTCCAAAGGGCTGAGCTGGGGGTGCCTCCAGGAGGGCGGTCGCAAACGTGGCGGGGGGCCTGTGCCAGGGCTGAGTGTAACTGCCGTGCGCTCAGACGTGCCCTGGCCCTGTGGTCGGCTCCGTACGGCTCCCAGGGGGGTTCTCAGCACTTTGCAGACTGTGCTCCTGGCCAGTGCTGTGGAGACCTTTTCCCGGCAGCGCCACTCTGGTGCGGGGACCGGCATGACGTTCTGCTCCCTGTGTCCCTGCAGGCATCGACAAGGAGAACGTGGAGCTCTCGCCCACTGCCGGACACGCCAACAGCGGCAGGATGCGCCACGGCTCCGCCAGCCAGGTGCAGAAGCAGCGCAGCGCCGGCAGCTTCAAGCGCCACAGCATTAAAAAGATCGTGTGAGGCACCGCCTTGCCTTGCTTTCCTCCTTGTTTTTTCTGTTTGGAGACTGACTGACAAGCGGGCTTTTCCCAAGGGCCCTCTACCAGTTGTGATGCTGCACTTAATTTTTAACGTTCCCATGCTGTCAGCCGTGTTGCCAGATGACCAACTCTTGGAAGCGTTGCCTGAGTTTTGCTGCCACCTTCTCTCTTCCTCTCCCTGTGTTGGATTCGAGCCGTGTTCCGGAGCCACCAAGCAGCGTCTGGGTGCTGACGGAGCCCGTGGCCAAGGGAGGCGGGTGCCGCAGTCCCGCATCGCGTCCCACCCAGAGCCGTTGCTCAGTGCTCTGCCCTGCTTCTGTTATGCCTTGTTTGCTTCTTCTGTAAAGGAAAGTGTTAAAACTTAGTCCCGTTTGCACACCCCTTGAGGTCGTGGCGGTAGGAGACTGGGGAAGTTGCTGTAATCATGCTTTTAATTCAAACCTGTAAGATTTTTAGCTGTGGACTTTTTTTTACCATACTTAAAAGAAACTTATGATAGTTGCAGTACAATGAGCTTAACCAGAAATGGTTGATTAGATTAAATTTCCAGTAATTAGCAATAAATTTAAAAGGACAAGGAGGCCACATGAGTCTCTTCATTCCCCAGACCATAGCACCACATACTTGGACTGTATATGGACCAGACTGGACAAACTGGCTTTTTTCCAAAGCAAACTTTTTTTTGGGCTGTACTTTAACTGCACTAAAAAAGGTCATATAGTGGAAAGAAATCATCGAGAACTGACTATGCTGTCATTGTAGCAGTGTTGACAAATTATTGCTTCTTTCTTCATTTAGCATATTCTTTAGTTTTACCCTTCCCAACAATATGCACCTTCAAGAAATTCCTGGCAGAATAACTATTGGGGTATGGAGGGGAAAATTCTGTGGAGTGACCTCCAACTCTGGGAGATTATGTTTAGCAAAGCTGCTTCTGTACTGCCCAAGCAATGATATAGAAACAGTAATGTTTGCTTAAGGTACATGAATTTAAAGATAACTGACACTTTTGTCAAATCAAGGTTACGTTTGAATGTTGCAGTGCAATTTCTGGAATCAGGATAGACTTTTGCAGTCAATCTGTCTTGCAGAGCTTTCGAGGGGGGTTAGTTTGCAAGGATTCACATTTGGGGGTTATAAGAAACTGAAATTGCTGTCACTGTGAAAGACTTGTCAACTCCAGTAGTATATTAACAATGGATGACTGTGATAATATGCTGCTATGTTGAATGGTGTATAAAGAGGTAGCACGCAGTGCTGCAGATACTACCTTTATGGACTGAAATTGTGCAGAACGTTTGATCTCAGAGGTAAATAGAAATTCTGACAAAGGGCCTGTCATCTGGGTGCTCATTTTAGGGCTAAGTGTATCTACTGCTAAAGAACAGTTAAACTTCCTAGTTTCAGATCCCTGTTGTATGTTAGAAGTTATCAATTTATAAGTGGCTTTAAAGAAAAAAGTATATCCACTATATTAAAAAAAAATCCTATAGTGCAATTTTATTAGTGGCTTTCAGTAAATCAAACTCCACAGCTAAATTATTTAGAGAATGGTACAATTAAGTGTTCAGATGTTATTGATATAGCACATAATTCACATTTATCCACAGTAACAATGTAACATGTTTATGTAAATAAATTGCCTTTATTGTATTGATTCATAAAATAACAATTTAATTTTTTTATTTGTTTACAGTCCTGGGAAAAACTATGAACACAAACCTAATATGCAAATAATTTGCCAAAACACAAAGAAAATTTACAATTAATAATCTTGAAATAGGTATCATGCAAAATATGAAGACTTGTGCAATTAACCAAATTATTTTATTATTGATTGTATAGGAAGTGCAGTAGAAATGCAGTTCCTTTATTACTGAATTACTGAGTTACTGAATTGATACTATCTATGAAATGGATTCTGAGGCTAGAACTGAATTTAGGAATAGAGCAGTGACTCGTGCCATGTTCTTAGCTGCTATGCATTTATAACCTGGAAGTCACTGCTGTGAAACCCTTTCTCATCTCATACATCCACTGTGTAACAGCTAATCTAAAATCACTTTCAGTTTGCACTAGATCGTACTGAATCAAGCTAATTCCAATCCTTTCAGTTTTGCTGAAGACAATGAATTGTAGAAGTCTGAAAAATTGTTCTTGCTCTAGATAGGGAAAAAAATCTCCCATAAAGGTAATTGGACATGAGAAAAAAACTTAAAAGATAGATTTTAGTTGTTTTGTCTCTCTTATGAGCAGTTTTCCTTAAATAAATCCAGACTAACTACCAAATCAGTTTTGTCTGGACTGAGTTCCTCTCACTCTCTTTCAATATTTTGGGTTGCCTTTATTAAAAAAAAAAAAAAAAAAAAAAAAGTCCCTAGATTGGAATTAATGAATTATTTCCAGTGTGTAGTGTGAAACCAAAACAGTGATTGACATCCTTTCACTGCTGCAGGCTCAGTCCTAGTGACCAAAACTGATGCCCTCGCTAAGCAAGTCAAGCAGTTTGCTCTGCTTCTTGAGGAGCAGCCTCAAGGGGTGACACTTGTCACTGCATGGCACAGGGAGAGCACCTGACTTTTTAAAGCAGGGGTGTCAAACACGCTAGGAAAAGAGAGCCGAATTTAGTGTATGATAAAGTCTGTGGCCAGGCTCTATAGTGAGGACCATCGAGGCCCAGGTACAGAGTGAAGTTCTCTCCAGTATCCATGGTCAGGAAGCTCGTTGCTTAGACAAAGGGTGACAACATGGTGGTTTGTAATAATTAAACTTGTGTTAGTAATTGGTGGTTCAGTGCCTTACTGTCACGCTGGTCACTCGGCCTGCTCCCTAGACTCCCTGAACATTGCTACTACTTGGCCTTTTTCTTTCTCAGCGCGTCCCTTTGCTGTTGGGCCCCGGGCAGCCACTGACGGTGCTTGGGGGCGGGCGGCGGGCGCTGCCCTCGGGGGCTCCCAGGGCCCTCTGAAGACATGCTCTATCCGAGCTCTGTCCGTGCGTTCGGAAGCGAGGGCCTGAGGCAGAAAACCCGGGTTGGAACAAATGGAACACATAAATACGTCGTGGGGACTGCGTGTTTGACACCCCTGTTTTAGAACCTGTCATCCATTACGCACTAACTACAGCTAAGTACTGTAAAGATGATTAACATTTGTTTGTGTATTTTCCCTGACTTAAAGATAATTCAGTAGTATTTGAATAGTGCATAACCTACCTGTAAATTATGCCAATATTTCTGCTTTAATGTGCATGAGGTTTCCAAGAAGAGGAAACGTTTCTAATAAGTATTGTGGACTGAGCGTTTGGGAGCGTTCCAGTGCTCTATTCCTAACTGGGTTGTAGGTCTTAGGGCTTTTTCTGTTTCATTCTAAAGGGTTTTTGTTTGTTTTGGTTTTGTTCCTTTTTTTTCAAATGTAACAAAGCATGTCGTATTGTTATGCAACAAACTTACCACAACAAGTCACTTTTAGTGTTGGTCCCACCATTTTTTTTAATGCAGTATATTCACCTGTAAATAGTTTTGTGTAAAATTTGACAGAAAAGTATATTTACTACACTGTAAATACATGTGACTATATTGTATTATTTTGCTTTTTTGTAAAGCAGTTAGTTGCTGTATATGTATAACATACAAATTTGATTATTCTAGTGTTAGTAACTGTTAACTACTACTTCTCCTTCCTGCTGTTGCATTATGTCATTTAAAAACACATGCTGTGTATTATAAACTTACACTGTGTATGATATCTTACTATTTCCGTTTGGGCCTCAACTTTAAACTGTTTCCTTGACCCATAATCCTGTTCATATCATAAGCAAGTGTGGAAGGGCTGGGAAGAGCGCTGCGATTGGAGGGCAGTTGGTGAATACAGCAGAAACTTGGTTTCAGATAGTTGTTGCTCTCCCCATTTTCCCTTCCTTCCTTCCTTCCTTCCTTCCTTCCTTCCTTCCTTCCTTCCTTCCTTCCTTCCTTCCTTCCTTCCTTCCTTCCTTCCTTCCTTCCTTCCT